CCAGACTAATTCAACATTAAAATAACCCTTTTCCCAGGCTCCAGAGGGCCGTGGGCCTGCGGGGAGGTGCCTCCAGGCACCCCCCGGACCAAGGATCTGTGTTCGCCCAATTCGCGGATACTGAAACCGCCATTTTGGACCCCAGTAACCACTAAAACAGTAATATGGCGGATCGGCGCCGTTCTAATTTTGTATTTTTCTGCCATTAATTCTAAGACTAACTGCTATCTTGCTTTCCTCACTTTTGGGCCCCTGCGCTCGGGGAATAATCGTTTTGTTTAAAGTATTATTATTAGACAGCAAACAGCTGATTGCCAAAACTCTGCTGGCTCGGTGAAAGCAGCCTGTTATTTCCTTGCTACCACTCATTCCTACTCGTGCCCTGCCATCAGGGGCTTGCTGTGGGCACCCACAGGAGGACCCGGAGAAGCAGCCAGGCCGGCCCCCGGCCCCAGCGCGGAAGATCTAGTTCGCCAAGGGCCGAACTATGGATTCTGTTGCTTCCGGACCCAGCGCACATAACTGGGTTCCTGTTTCCTCTTTGTGAACTCTCTGACTTGTGCACTGGACTATGGACTCTGCTACTACCCAACCTAGCGCCCATAACTGGCATCATGAAGTTTTTCCACATCCCTGGCCACGAACTTCCTTCTGGTGCTTGCCTTGAGAAGCAAGCAGCCTCCGTTTTCCACGCACCTTTGCCAAAGGACTATGAGATCTCCAGTTTGTGTTATCATAAAGATCCAATATTGTAATAAACCATTGCTGGGGATGGGGATGGGAATTCACTTATGAAATGTATGAAGTATATGAAGTATATAAGATGTGTATAATGAAATGTACCCTGATTCCCCTTCCTGCCTTTCCCTCTGAACTTTGCCCCAAAAAAAGGAATGTGACCTGGGATTACTGCTAAGAGGAAATCCTTTGTCCTCTCGAAACTGTTCATATCTACATCTGCATGGGCCACGTGATTGATTCCTTCCCAATGCTTACTTTCAGAGCAGACAGTGAGATAAGGGATAGGTCAACAGAAACTCAGGAAAAAGGCTGATTATATCATTTTCTAGGTATTTGTTGATCCCCCTTGTTTACAAGGCCCCCTTGTTTACAAGGTTTTGAGGTCCGAATGCCATCAATAGCTCCTTTTCATACTTCCTCCCAAATCCCATCACAGACCAGGAAACTTATTGTTCCCCTATCAGACACCCCGTCAGGTGAGGACAAAAGCCTCACATTCCCCTTAAGGCTGTCATTTCCTCAGTCTTTGTCAAGCTTCGTCCCACCTCCTGGCTGCCGATTGGTCCATCTTCAGAGGCGCTAGGAAGGCACTGATTGGCCTCCCAGAGGCAGCAGAGCCCGCTGATTGGTCCAGAGGCGAGGCATGCTGCCAAGCCTCCTCCCAGCTGTTCCGCGGCCAGCCAATCAGCACGAAGCCGGCTGACAGAGGGCGGGCGGGATTTTTGAAACTGTTCTCCTTTGTCTGTGTACTATAAAAATGCTTGGAAATTCTGTAAAGATATGCTTGCAGTGGAATGATTCCTGTAATGCATCTGATCTCAGCTGAATCACAATAAACCTCGGTTGCTGAAAAGAAACTTCTTCCACTTGGATGAGGCATTATTATTTATAATATTTACTCTTTAGATTGGCTCTCGCTGGCCTCACCAAGGGACCCAGAGCCCTTTAGGCGCGGTCCTCGGGTTCTCCCTCTCAAGGAGACCCTGCTAAAAGCAGCTCGATATCTATCACTCCCTAAAGTACAAACCCCAGAATTCTACAGGAAGCAGCAACTGGATTTAAAGTAGATTCATTCTCTAGTGTGATGAGGTCCCTGCTGTCTAGGGCTTCAGGAAGTTCAAAACTCCTGGAGGACCACTTCCATTTGAGCATTGGGAAGAACTTCCTGACTGTAAGAGCTATTCAGCAGTGGAACTCTTTCCTTCGGAGTGTAGTGGAAGCTCCTTCTTTAGAGGCATTTAAACAGAGGCTGGATGGCCAACTACCAAGAGTGCTTTGGTTGTGCTTTTCCTGCAAAGCAGAAAGGTGTTGGGCTAAATGGTCCATGTGGTCTCTTCCAATTCTATGACCAAAGGTTGGGAACCATTGCTCTAGAGCAGGCCTGTACAACCTATGGCTCTCTAGGTGTTTGGAGCTCCAACTCCCAGAAGCCCTAGCCAACTTGTCCAATGGATAGGAATTCTGGGAGATGAAGTCCAAAACACCTGGAGGGCCACAGATTGTGCAGGCCTGCTCTAGAACTTTAACAAGAAGTTATTCCAATTACTCAGAATGATGCCAAATCCCAGATTGTACATTGGAACATTGTTCACAACTGAAAAGTCAGATACATTTTTTGGGAAAAATCTAATTTTGTTTGCCTTTTGAAATGGGAGACATTTGTTGTTGTTGTTGTCATTAAACATCAAGAAAACCAAAGTACTCTTCCAGCAGTCACCAGCCAATCCCTCTCCAATGCCAGAAATACAACTTAATGGCATAACATTAGAAAATGTTAACCATTTCCACTACCTTGGCAGCCATCTCTCCACAAAAGTCAACATTGACACTGACATTCAACACCGCGAGTGCAGCATTTTTCTGAATGAAGCAGAGAGTGTTTGAGGACTGGGACATCCATAGGGATACCAAGGTGCTTGTTTATAAAGCTAATGTCCTCCCAACCGTGCTATATGCCTGCAAAACGTGGACAGTCTACAGACGTCACATGAAACTCCTGGAACGATTCCATCAGCGCTGCCTCCAGAAAATTCTGCAAATCTCTTGGGAAGACAAGCAATCAAATGTCAGCATGCTGGAAGGAGCAAAGACCACCAGCATTGAAGTGATGGTCCTCCGCTATCAACTCCGCTGGACCGGCCATGTTGTCCAGATGCCCGACCACCGTCTCCCAAAGCAGTTGCTCTACTCCAAACTCAAGAATGGAAAACGGAATGTTGATGGGCAGGAAAAGAGATTTAAAGATGGGCTCAAAGCCAGCCTTAAAAACTTTGGCATAGACACTGAGAACTGGGAAGCCCTGGCCCTTGAGCGCTCCCGTTGGAAGTTAGCTGTGACCAGCAGTGCTGCAGAATTTGAAGAGGCATGAATGGAGGGCAAAAGAGAGAAATGTGCCAAGAGGAAGGCGCATCAAGCCAACCCCGACTGGTACCACCCTCCACCTGGAAACTGATGCCCTCTCTGCAGAAGAAGATGCAGATCAAGAACAGGGCTCCACAGTCACCTACGGACCCACCACCAGGACACTACACTTGGAGAACCATCATCCTCAGACTACAAGGGATCACCTAAGTAAGTGTTGTTGTTTCCTTCTTTTTCTCTGGTATACAAAGGTAAATTGTTCCGCTTCTCAAGTTGTCACAGTTCCTCAGTCCTTTGTCTGCATTCTTCCCTTTGTCCCCAGTTTGTTTCAATTGCAAGAAATTAAGTTCAAAGTGCAAAAAAAAAGTTCACAGGCATGCATTCCAGAGGAGGGAGAAGATTCTGGCCTTTGCCTGCAGGTTTATGAAACAGCAAACTGCTGCAGCCTCTCCCACCTTGTGTGTTCTTCCTCATTCATAACTTTTGTCATCTTGACCTCACTCTGAGGTTGGCTACACACGTCCTGATTTTCACTTGGGAAATGTTAAAGGATATGACATAGGTGGCCTCCCTTGTTTAAACTGCAAAAGATATGCTCAGGAAATCAAAATGAAGTAGGTATCTGACCTTGGGAGGCAAACATTAGCTTATGTCAATGCATTTTTGAAGTACAGGTACTCCCTGAGTTACAAACATCCAACTTACAAATGACTTGTAGTTAAGAATGGAGAATGAAACAACACAAAGTGAGAAAAATCTACCTCTCGGAAGGGAAATTCATTCCTGAAAGAGTTATCATGGGGAAAAGGGGTCTCCACTGAGGTTTTATCATCAATCCTTATTTTCACAAGCCAATTCTTTCAAAATCTAATGATCACAGGGACAGAAAGTGAGATGAAATCTTCTCAACAGGGGCACAGAAAACAAACAAACACCACAGGGGTGTTTATGCTATCCAAGACTAAAAGAGATATGTGTGTGTGTATGTGTGTGTGTGTGTGTGTGTATTTGGCTGGAGTTACACTGTAAAAAATATACCTGTTCTGATTTACATACAAATTCAACTTAACAATAAACCTAAAAGGTAAAGATAAAGGTTTCCCCTTGACATTAAGTCTAGTCGTGTCCAACTCTGGGGTGTGGTGCTCATCTCCATTTCTAAGCCAAAAAGCCATTGTTGTCTGTAGACACCTCCAAGGTCATGTGGCCGGCATGACTGCATGAAGTGCCGTTACCTTCCCACCAGAGTAGTACCTATTGATCTACTCATATTTGCATGTTATCGAACTGGTAGGTAGGCAGAAGCTGGGGCTAATAGGGGGAGCTCACCCCATCGCATGGATTCGAACTGCTGACCTTTCAGTCAGCAAGTTCAGCAGCACTACGGTTTCACCCACTGCACCACTGCAGCCCCTAAGAACAAACCTACAAAATCTATTTTGTTTGTAACTTGGGGACTGCCTGTAATATATTTCTGTTTTCCATCTTAATTAAAACTACTGGTCTTTATTTGCACACTTTAACATTGTTCATGTTTCTGGACACTTCAGGTTTGTCACATGAGATGATCTTCAGATGTATACGGTCATCGGGCTTGTTTAAGTACACCAAAACAATAGTGATGACATTATTATACATTTTAGGGAGTCCCCGATGGTGCAGCGAGTTAAACCCCTGTGCTGGCAAGACTGAAGACCGACAGGAGAGGTGGATGAGCTCCCTCTATCAACTCCAGCTCCTCATGCGGGGACATGAGAGAAGCCTCCCATAAGAATGATAAAAACACCAAATCGTCCGGGCGTCCCCTGGGCAACGTCCTTGCAGACGGCCAATTCCCTCACACCAGAAGCAATGTGCAGTTTCTCAAGTCGCTCCTGACACGACAAAAAAATTATACATTTTATGACAGTACCATCATTTATAATGACATCATGTCACTTTTGATAACACAGATGACACTGGGTTGTTATGGGTTTTCCAGGCTGTATGGCCATGTTCCAGAAGCTCAGGAAAGAATGCCATACAGCCCAGAAAACTCACAGCAACCCAGGGATTCCAGCCATAAAAGCCTTCGACAACACACAGATGATACTCTTCTCTTCCCTTTCTTTCTTTCTTTCTTTCTTTCTTTCTTTCTTTCTTTCTTTCTTTCTTTCTTTCCTTCTTTCTTTTTTTCCTGCAGAAGAATCCAAAAGATATTTTCTGCTATAGTCCAAAAGTTTGGCTTAGAATCACTTGGAAATGTGCTTCATTAGATTCCTACAAATAAAAAAATGGAAATGCACCAAAGAAGTGCAAAGACAAAATGACAACAACCACTCAACCCAAGGTATTATACGCAGCCCAGTGGCATCTGGAGTCATTCTCTGGTTCATTTTGTGAAGTGTAGATATTATTAGAAAGTACATCAGTATCCTTTGGTAAGTCTCTAAATATATCTATCATAGAGATGCAATGATTTGTGGCTCTGGATTGTTTAATAATAGAAACAACACAATGTTCCCAGGCTCTTATAATTATACAGTGGAATGAAAAAAAGCTCAAGAGAAGTAGTATTGGATTCTTCTCTGAAAGGCCTGTGGGTTTTGTTCAAGACAAATTCCTGGAATCGGGATGTTTTTAAATTGTAAGTATATATTATTCTTCGATGCCAAGCTACAGCCAGTGTTGAGGAGTGCTGGAAGCTGCAACTCAACAATATCTGAAGGGCCATGTGATTCCAACTCTAATTTAAAAGGGTATCTATGAACAAGAGGAGAACAGATCCACCTCCAATCTGAGCAGCTTTATGTTACAGATCAATGGTCTGACTCAATGTTAGGAAGCTGCATATGGTGGACGCTACAATACAACCTCCAGGATTTTTGTTTGGGTTGCCGTGCATCTGTTGACATTAGCAAGCAAAGGATTCGGTGGCACATTTTGGCTTCCTGAGTGCTGAAAGGCTGGGGTTTTTAAGAAGCGTATAGAAGAGCAGCCATCTTGTTCTGGCTTTATTCGATACTTTAAAATCTAAAGGAATAGAAGAAAGAAAGGGTTAATTTCCAATGTGTTCTATGTCATTGTACTCCAGATTCGTTCCCTCGATGGCACAGCCAACAGGTAGAACAGACAATTGACTATTAAAATGCAATAAACTCTTGACTCCAGCTGCAGTATGAGCCAAGCGCTCTTGGCACCATTATCCTCTATCTATTTATCTATCAACCACTCCATGTGCATTTGAAAGATGGAACATTTCTCCACAAATGTCAACATTTTGTGCAGAACACGAAATACAGCACAGGATGAAATTTGATCATTTAGCAAAGGCACTGCTCGAACTCTAAAGATTTACCAGTAAATGACAGAATATTCTGACATTTCCTACTGACATTTCCTAAAACATTTAAGCCTTATTGGTAAATGTCAAGCTTTTATTTGTAATATTTGCTACAGAATAGCACTAGGGATAAAAAAAATCATACTCAGAGGTACCAGATCCTCTCTGACCTTGGATGGTAAGGGTCAACTTTGATTAATACTTGGATGAAGACTACCAATACCAGGTGGTGTAGGCTATATTTCAGGGGAAGGAACCAGCAAAGGCACCTCTGATGATTCCTTGTCTAAGAAAACCCTATGAAAATAATGGAGTTGGCATGAGTTGATAGGCAACTTGAAGGCATACATAGAGAACAAAGGTAAGTACATAATCCCGGACAAATGTTTACACAGTCAGTATCTACCTGTTGCATTACTGAAGTGGCTATACAAGGTGCCAGTCTGTTGCTGCTTTTCTCTGGTTTTCATCATGACATGACAAAAGCAGATAAGAGTAGGGTTTGTGTGATAATTGTCCATAAAGAGCATCCCAATCCACGTCCTGAATCCTGCAGTGAAATAATTGTTCTCATTGTTATATAGTAGAACCTCTACATAAGAATGTCCCAACATAAGTATGTTTTGACTTACAAATCCTCACTCGGCCTAGAGGGATGTTTTCACATCCAAACACTGTTTTGACCTGCAAACAGTGCAAAAGAGGCCTCCTTGCCCCCTAAATTTATATTATGAATGGGTGACGCCTGGCTCGAGAGCAGTACGTGTGAAAAAGATCTTGGAGTCCTCGTGGACAACAAGTTAAACATGAGTCAACAATGTGATGCAGTGCAAAAAAAGCCAATGGGATTTTGGCCTGCATCAATAGGAGCATAGTGTCTAGATCTAAGGAAGTAATGCTACCCCTCTATTCTGCTTTGGTTAGACCACATCTGGAATATTGTGTCCAATTCTGGGCACCACAATTCAAGAGAGCTATTGACAAGCTGGAATGTGTCCAGAGGAGGGCGACTAAAATGATCAAGGGTCTGGAGAACAAGCCCTATGAGGAGCGGCTTAGGGAACGGGGCATGTTTAGCCTGAAGAAGAGAAGGCTGAGAGGAGATATGATAGCCATGTATAAATATGTGAGAGGAAGCCACAGGGAGGAGGGAGCAAGCTTGTTTTCTGCTTCCTTGGAGACTAGGACGCGGAACAATGGCTTCAAACTACAAGAGAGGAGATTCCATCTGAACATTAGGAAGAACTTCCTGACTGTGAGAGCCGTTCAGCAGTGGAACTCTCTGCCCCGGAGTGTGGTGGAGGCTCCTTCTTTGGAAGCTTTTAAGCAGAGGCTGGATTGCCATTTGTCAGGGGTGATTTGAATGCAATATTCCTGCTTCTTGGCAGGGGGTTGGACTGGATGGCCCATGAGGTCTCTTCCAACTCTTTGATTCTATGATTCTATGATTCTAAACCAGTTCTAACAGCAGGAAACAAAACCTGAATAGCTCTGGCTCTTCATGCAAGGCAGGAACTCCAACTCCATGTGATTGTTTCCCCTCCGTGTGATTGTGTCCTTCTGACTCACCTGCACCATAGCAAACCTACCTATTAGGCCAGTGTTTCTTAACCTTCCTAATGTTGCGACCCCTTAATACAATTCCTTATGTTGTGGTGACCCTCAACCATCTAATTATTTTCATTGCTACTTCATAACTGTAATTTTGCTATTGTTTTGAATCGTAATCTGATATGCAGGATGTATTTTCATTCACTGACACACAGAACTTCCATGACCAACAGAAAATACTGGAAAGGTTTGGTGGGCATTGACCTTGAGTTTTGGAGTTGTAGTTCACCTACTCCCAGAAAGCACTGTGGACTCAAACAATGATGGATCTGGGACCAAACTTGGCACGAATACTCAATATGCCCAAATGTGAACACTGGTGGAGTTGGGGGAAATAGACCTTGACTTTTGAGGGTTGTAGTTGCTGGAATTTATAGTTCACCTACAATCACAGCAGGAGGAGGACTTTAGGTGGGAGGATTCACCATCTGTTTCCAAAAAGGAAGACAAGATCACATGGAGAGATCTTCAGTCTTCTCTGCCAAAGGTGTTCATAAGACCATCAGAAATATGTTGTCTGATGGTCTTTGGCGACCCCTATGAAACCACCACATGACACCGCCCCCAGGGGTCCCGAGCCCCAGGTTGAGAAACGCTGTATTAGGCAATGTATGAAGGGGGTACTCTGTCCATTTCCCATCATTAGGTGCCAGATTGTGTGTTCCAGGCAATCTACTCAGCACCTAATTGGGCAGGTAACTTCAGTGTAAATCTGCCTTCAGAATAGCACACATTCAGCGTGTCCTCCCTTTTGCCATCACTGCTGCTCCTTGCCATTGCAGGCAGCTCAGCTGACACCAGAGTGGGGAACTTCAGAGTACTGCTAAACTTTGCCAAATGTAGAGCAAAGTTGGTTTAAAGTAATAACAATAACAACAAAAACCACAATACTCACGTAAACCACTGAGTGTCATGGGACAGCCAGTGATTCATTTGAGGTGAGTACAGGATTTGGGGGCAATATAGACAAGCCCTTTGTTGGCTTGTGGAGATGGCATAGGGCAGGGAGAAGACATCTTGTTATTTGCCTCCAATAGCAACATTTTAACATCAGAACAGGCCCTCATTCATTATTCTGTTAGTTGTTTTTTCACTGTTCTTATTTACAAAACAGATGGAAGTGTGCAGCTACAGCTTTTTCTTTTTGTTTTAATGTGGGTCTGCCTGTTTGCTTATTTGCTTCCTTTCTAAGTCTGGAATAATTGGGAATCCTGCACTCCAAGAAACCCATGCCCTTACCCATGTCAGCTGCTTCGTAGCCTTTGGGCATGATTGTCCTGTCTATCCGTGCAATGAGCCAGGCTCCTACCATGACACTACATAGCAGCCGGAAGAGGCACATGCTCAGGCCCAGCATCACGTTATAGAAGAAGAGAAAGTAGTTGAAATTGTGGAACATTTTCCTGAAAACAAACAAACAAACAAACAGTCAAATATCACAGGAGATCTTAGCATCTGTACATGAGAGACAAGTCCCAGTGTTGCAGTTTTCATATGTACATCAAATGTCAGTTTGGGAGAACAAAAGAATGCCCCTTTAGCCATGTTTGCATGGATTCATATTATTTAGCCCAACCAGGTTTTGAGTATTGTGAGTGATCTTCATTAATCCAGAGTAAAATAAAATGAGCCACATTCTAAACTCACTGGGAGAGTCACAATTTGTATCTTCGTGTATTCTGTTGCACTCTGATGCCATCATCATGGCTATGCAATTTTGCATATATACCTCTGGATGTAATATCGACTAGTACATCTGAAGAAGTAGATTGAAATCCACAAAAACTCATGATGAAATAAAACAGCATTAAAGGTGCTGCTCCTTTATTTCTTCCCTCCTCCAATATTCCTTTTCACGCTGATGCAGACTTACATGGCTGTCTCTTTGAAAACTATTCAAGAAGAGCTACACACATACATGTGTGTACGAACAAACAAACTTTCAGTTTTCATGTCTCAACATTGCTCTCCCCAATAGCTACTGTATTGCAATTAGTCATTGAAAAAACAAAACAAAAAACTGCAAGAAACCAAGCAGGAAAATAAGTAAGACCATATTTTCTCCAAAGGCATGCAAGCACCAAAAATATCTTCATCTTTCTCAGCAAGACATATATAAAAGGCAAGATGATATAGATATATATATTCTCTCTCTCTCTCTGCCCCTGTGTACACTATACACACATACGTACACATATGTACACACAAACTATTGTTCCAGAAAGCTGGATTTCAAGAGTCATTTGTGGGGTGGAATCGTAAGTGGGTTTAAATATACACCTGAACATGTCCAGAGGTATGATGTACAGAGCTGCTTAGATCAGGTTTACACAAGGTGGTGGTCCATGGGGGATGCCTGACTCGACAGCAGTATATGTGAAAAAGATTTTGGAGTCCTCATAGACAAGAAGTTAAGCATGAGCCAACAAAGTCATGTGAGGAAAAGTCATAGGGAGGAGGGAGCAAGCTTGTTTCCTGCTGCCCTGGAGACTGGACGCGGAACAATGGGTTCAAACTACAGGAAAGGAGATTCCACCTGATTATTAGAAAGAACTTCCTAACTGTGAGAGCTGTTCAGCAGTGGAACTCTCTGCCCTTGAGTGTGGTGGAGGCTCCTTCTTTGGAGGCTTTTAAACAGAGGCTGGGTGACCATCTGTTGGGGGTGCTTTGAATGCAATTTTCCTGGTTCTCTTCCAACTCTAGGATTCTAGGTACTCACCTACTGGTCTACGTAAGAGCTGCAAAGATGTAGGAGTCAGTGGCCACAAATATGGCACTGGTCCCTGGCACATTCAGAGAAAAACACTGGTAGTCCCTCTCATCACATAGCAAGATAGGCATCCGCTTAGAGTCAGGGTTGATGCCAATGTTCTGGCTATTCAATACCACAGCTGAGACAGCAACCCTTCCTGTCTGCACAGCTTTCACTTTTTGTTGTTCTTCCATCTTTTTGTTAGGTTACTTCAGTATATATGTTCCTCCTAGTAGGAATGGTCCACATTTTTAGAAGTATGACTCTTCCACCTTAAACATTAGAACTATACACACACACATGCATACAGGGTTGGAAACACTTTTGTTTGTTTGTTAATGCAAGCTGACAAAAATGTGGATCCCTTAGGGAAAAATAAAAGTTGGTAACACAATTCTCTGGGACTGACCTGTTATCAAGAGCCAAAGGTTTTTCCTTGTCATCCAGTGAAATCTTTGGCTGAAGGAAGAATATGCCAGCAGTCCCAATCTGCATCAGCATGAACCCCACAAAAATGCCAATTGTGAGACTGAGATGGAAAAAGAAGCAGGAGGTTAGACTTTTAAAAGATTCAATTAACAAAAATAAAGGGAGCGGGAGACAAAGTCTTGTCTTGAGCCAAAAAGGATTTAGATATATACAGGCTCAAGATGAAATCATGATATGAAGGTGATCCAGAAGCAGTATATGAATAATTTCACTGTACTCCAAAATAGTGGCGTCATCTCATAATAAAGCTTTCTGTAGCAGTATAACAGTGGTTCTACAACTCCCAGAAATCCCAGCCAGTTCACCAGTTGTTAGGATTTCTGGGAATTGAAGGCCAAAACATCCGGAGACCCACAAGTTTAGTACTACTGCACTAGAAGCATATCACCAATTATAGACTATAAGACACTGATTTGCCTGTAGCCACCAAGTAAATTTGCGGTTGAACAACTTACTGCTTCACAGCACATCCTCCCGGCCACTCTACTAGTTCAGCTACAAAGGAAGGTACTTACATCACCATTCCCACACTTTTCAACATGTTTATCCCTTCACCATTCATGATGGGCAAAACGAAAATGTACATGAACACCAGTCCCAAAAGACACTGCACTATGTGGATGATCAGGTATCCTGTGGGGAAAACACACAAGCAATTAGAAAGGAAATAAGAGGGCAACCCCCAAAGTGAATGCTTGTTTACAGTATAGATCTCCATGTACCCCATAGAATGTATGCAATTTGCCAGCCAGAATATCTTGCTATCGATGCCTGTTAGTGTTTCAACAAAATGAAAAATGGAGAGACATTTATATATGATAGTTTCCCATCTGTGTAATGGATAAGAAGAGTATATTTACAGCCTGACCTGCATATTTAATGGAAATTATTTCTTGGACCAAATTCTTTTTTTTTCAACTGAAGTCATTACTAACAATGCTACACAATTACTAAGAGACTGATATTTGACATACGTGTATATAAAATCCAAACATCCATCTTCCATCTCGCTTTCATCACATCCCAGTGCGATAGGAAAATATGACAAGACCTTGCTGTCCAGCATGAAGTCAAGCAATCATTATTGTTTTCAGTGACCATACTCACTAATATTAGAAAGCAAGCTTGGTCCACACACCAGCCAAATTCTCAATTTCACCTCTTTGTTTTCTGAAGTAAAAGGGAATAGATATGTTTGATTCCCTTAAGGAAAAATAAAGCTCTGCATTTTGGAAATACAATTGCAAAGAAAGGCAGCCTCTCAACATCCGTGATACTTGATGATCAGAAAATTTGATGGATCTTTCTATGTTGTTGTCATGGCATGTGTTATGGTTGTTAATAATAGATAATATCTAATCATATTTGCCACAATGTACTTCCCTGCTATCCTTTGCCTATACAGCAAAGGTAGAAAATCTGTGGCTATTTAGTGATTTTGGAACTCTAGTCCTTATCAGCCATAACTTTCAGTCTCCATCAACCATAGCCAGCAAACAAATAGATATTGGAGTCCAGCAACGTGTGATTCCACAGCCATAGCATTTAAAATTGTGTCAAACTGCACTAACAGATGCACTTTCTCTCTGTCTTATCCCTACCACCCACTTTTCAATCTATTATATAATAATAATAATAATAATAATAATAATTTTTTCTAATAATAATAATAATAATAATATACTTTATTTATATTCTGCTTTATCTCCCTGAAGGGACTCAGAGTGGATTACAAAAATAATAATATTTTTCAAATAACAATAATAATAATAATAATAATAATAATAATAATAATAATAATACACTTTATTTATATTCTGCTTTATCTCCCCGGAGGGACTCAGAGTGGATTACAATAATAATAATATTTTTCAAATAATAATAATAATAATAATAATAATAATAATAATAATAATAATAATAATACACTTTATTTATATTCCGCTTTATCTCCCCAGAGGGACTCAAGAGTGGGTTACAGTACACACATATATAGGCAAACATTCAATGTTTTTTATACAGAGAACAACAATGACACACAATACACAACAAAGGCAAAGGTTTCCCTTCCATCTCCAGCATCTGGAGACAGCGCTCATGGGGAGGTGCTCTTGTTCCATTTTTCCATGCTGAGGAGGTTATTATCCATAGGCCCTCCTGTTCATGTTTCTGGCATGGCTGCATGAGTGCATTTTGCCTTCCTGCCGAGGCGGTACCTATTGATCTACTCACATTACATGTTTTCGAACTGCCAGGTTGGTAAGGGCTAAGGTTAAAAGTGGGAGCTCACCCCAACTTGTGGTTTCAAACTGCTAATCTTATAGTCAGCAAGTTTTTCTGTAGCTAGTGGTTTAACCTACTGTGCTGCCGCGGCCCTTTTCAGTCTATCTTAGGCATAGCAATAATTAAGAGATGCCCAGAAATGACTGATAATAGGAGTCAGGTAGTAGCAGTTATGATGAGTTTGATTCAAGGTTTTCTTACAGAGGACAGATTTAAGGATCAAAGAGACTGAGGACTCACCACACTTTGAGTAGATGAAAGTTTACTGAACACCAGCGGAAGGAATTCCTTCTGCCCTGCCCACAGTCGCTTCATGTGTTTCCTAGGAAAATGCATTATCATGCTGTGAAAATTGAGTCAACGTTTTTCCAGCCTTGCAGCTGCAGAAACAAAGGCCCTATCTATACCAAACATTTAATGCAATTTCAAACTGGTATTGAAGAAAGTGGTTTCACTGGGCAGATGATTCCATAGGAAATGTTGGAACTGGTTTATAGCCTCAATGGTGATTACACAAACCACAGAGCACTGGGGCACATTGAGGGCTTTCTTTTACGCATTTATGTTGGAGTTTGTTGTTCGGCCACTACAGTTTGAAGCCAGCTTCAAACTGCATTAAATGATCAGTGTAGATGGGGTCACAGATACACATGTGACTGGAGGAAGTCTAGTTGTAAACTGCCCTCAGATCAGTCAGAAATGTGGACTCTCTATGTATTGTCGAAGGCTTTCATGGTCAGAATCACTGGGTTGTTGTAGGTTTTTTCGGGCTATATGGCCATGTTCTAGAGGCATTTTCTCCTGAAGTTTCGCCTGCATCTATGGCAAGCATCCTCAGAGGTAGTGAGGTGACTACCTCTGAGGATGCTTGCCATAAATGCAGGCGAAACGTTAGGAGAAAATGCCTCTAGAACATGGCCATATAGCCCGAAAAAACCTACAACAACCCTGTAGACTCTCTGTCCCCATGCCTAAGCCCCAGCAGAAATACCAAACATCACAAAGTCAGGACTGAGAACATGCTTACCTGTAGCAGGCTAAAATGTGGAACACGTAGGTGATGCATGTGAGAGAGGCAGTAAAGGTGGTGAAAATCCAAACACCTGTGGGACAAAGAACCATAGTCTTTAGCCTGTATTAAAGTAAATCTATCCCATGTATCAAAATGACATATTGTTCTCAATCCAACATCCCTTCAGGATAAAGTAAATATGAAATATAGAACAGCCATGTGAGGTGACTTTGAGACTATACTGCACAGGGAGGAAGGGAGTATCAACTTACCCAGTACCCCAAAAAAGAAGAGCCAGGCATATAAGGGACAGTTATGTATGCATATATATTTTTTGGCTTTTTTGTGATTAATATCCATATATATCAAAAGCTGGTTTTAGAACTAGGATCCCTGCAAAGTGTTACCTTCTATGTTGGCAAGAAATTCTTTCAAACGCTGGATACTTGCAACTGCTTCTGATGCATTCCTGGATGTGTTGCTGGAAGCAGCAAGTGCCTCAAAATCCAGCTCCAAGGTTTCCAGCACATGAGAAACACGCACGTAAGCATAACGTTCCACCACAACAAACTGGAGGAAAAGTAGATTAAAAAGCTCCTTAATTAGCTTGCCGAGAGTTTATCCACTCAAATATTTCATGCTGCGAATCCAGCCATGAGTGACTGATTTTGGCAATGTTTTAATTTGCTATGCAAATGACTATAATTATCTACCCAACATCCACCGGAGAAAGAAGCCTTTCAGTATCCAAAAAGGCCTGCACTACAGTGAGTATTCCAGCAGCCTTAGAAAACTAGACAACACCTATGCACTGACTTTTTTTTTACCATTCAAACCAAATGCCAGCTTTGCTGATGTAGGGCCCTTCCACACAGCCCTATATCCCAGAATATCAAGGCAGAAAATCCCACATTATTGGAGTGTGGGCTCAGATAACCCAGTTCAAAACAGATATTGTGGGATTTTCTGCCTTGATATTCTGGGATATAGGGCTGTGCGGAAGGGCCCGCAGAAAATATATTACTTTGAGCTTCTATTCTATGTGACTCCCAGAGTCTCTTAACTTTGAAAAAGGCAATGAGCAATGCTCAGCCATCGGTCAGCTCTTTGGTTGGTGGGATTATCTGTACATATTAGTGAGCTGAGAGCTGGTATTTTAATACTTTAATACTTCTTCTCTTCACTTAGGGTACATCTGCACTGTAGAACTAATGCAGTTTGAACCATATAAACTTCCATGGCTCAGTGCTACGCAAACATGGAAGTCGTAGTTTTACAAAGCCTTTAGCTTTCTCTGTGAAATACTGCTTGCACCTCTCCAGATGACGACTCCCATGATTCCACAGAATCAAGTTAAAGGGGTATCAAACTGCATTAATTCTACTTTGTGGTTCAAGCATGGGCAAACTTTTTGCCCTGGGGCTGTCTTGTAGGCGGTCGCAAGGGCTGGGCCAAGAGGGAGTGCAGGTGGGTCCGGAAATGGGGGGAGGGGGTTAGAGGGATCGGGTCAGGGCCAAAAGAGGGAAGAACCAAGGTTGGAAAGATGGGGCTAGGGCCAGGGCTGGGAAAGGGAAGGTCTGTCAAATGGCATTGGAATTTTTGTCTCCCTGGCTCCTCTGGGCCATGGGAAGGCAGCAGTCAGTCTTCCCAGATCCAGAGGAGGGAGACAAACATGCTGCTGCCGAGCACTCTCCAGAGAGTGCTTGGCAGCAGCGTGTTTCTGACTTGGTCCTCCTCTCAGCCTGGGAATGCGGCGGGCCTTTGCGTTTGCATATTGAAAGGGGGGGCAGAGCAGATGGGGGATGGAAAAAAGAGCCCAAAGCTGGTTTTAGAACTGGCACGTGGGCCTGGGTTTGCCCATGTCTGGTGTAGATGCACCTACAGCCTGCAGTAACCATCTTGCAGAAGAGACATACACATGACTAATACCGCTGTTTCTTAACTATGGATTCCAACCCCAAAGGAGGTTCTCCTAGCTCAATGTTGTGGTCATGAAAAATTTGGCAACAGTAAAAGTTTTCTGAATGCTTCCTAGTGACTGTTTCAGACATGTACATTAATCTATAGCATCATCACTGTTTACAGAGAACTCTAGAAAATGCTTCAGCTTTATTTTTTTAATTTTTGTGTCAGGAGCAACTTGAGAAACTGCAAGTTGCTTCTGGTGTGAGAGAATTGGCCATCTGCAAGGACGTTGTCCAGGGGGCGCCTGGAAGTTTTGATGTTTAACTATCCTTGTGGGAGGTTTTTCTTATGTCCCCGCATGGAGAGCAGAAGCTGACAGAGGGAACTCATCCACGATCCCCCCGTATTCAAACCTCCAACCTTTCAGTCTTGCCGGCACAAGGGTTTAACCCACTGTGCCACCGGGGGATTCAGCTGTACTTCATAAAAAGAAAAATCAGCCTGTCTTGCAAATGCTGCTTTGTTATCAGAACATTTTTGGGGTTTTTATACCTAATTCATACCTATATACCTGGGATTATATAAATATTCCATGGGGGTAAAGGGGTTGTGAGTGGAAAAGGTTTAAGAAGCCCTGCACTAGACGAGCTTTCTGGTTTCTTTCTTGATGACATAGGCAGATACAACTGGGAATTACTGTCCCATATCTCCACACTTGTAAATATTAATTTCACAGATTAGATTATTGCTGCTGCCAAACACCATTTTTAATAGAGTTCACCATAACACCACTGTCCATCTTGAGCTGTGTAAAGTCAGGATTAGTAAGTAATCAAATCTTTGGTCACTGGGAAGAAAAATGGTGGGAAAGTGTGCATGAGCATTTCTTCATATTCTCACTCAAATGGACAGGGGAATGGGGTGGCATGGGGGTGCGCAAGGAGGGCCGGACCCACCATAGCCCATTCCCACTGCTCTTGCCATCATCCCACTGCTGCCCTCTTTCTGCTCTCCCATTTCATTCCCTCCTCCTCACATGAAGAAGAGAGCAAGGGAATGCATGTGTGCAGCCAGGCTCACCTTCCCTACCACTACAAATACTTTTAATGTGTATTAAATATAGTCTGAGGGAACCAAGAGATATACACTTTTCCTCTCCACTGAAGTCTTGTCCACCAACCCCCGCCCCCCAAAAAAATGACTGTGCGTCTCCACATATATGCTACTCACACATTTCAAAAAATGTATTAGCAGCGAGATATATTTTCTCCTAAAACTTCTTGAACATACAGTGCAGACAAAAGCATCACCCTGAAAAAACTTTCTCCAGGAAGGAAAGAAAGGAAAGAAAGAATATGCAAGCTCTCAGCTTACCATGTAGAGGCATATGATGGCCAGCAGAGCCATGCAAATCATTCTGCTGGGAAACTGAAAACAAGGGTCCCATTTGTAAATTTTTCGCTGGATCCAGGATTTCTCAGGCTGCCTGTCGAGAACAAACAATGCATGAAGTATACTAAGGAGATGGGTCTCAATGGAATTAAGAAAGGAAGTGTGATCTGAGGTCAGGAAATTTTGGTAGACAGCATCTTTTTCTCTTTCTGATATTGCACTATAGACCCCAATATAGTTGTCATCAGCAGATACCTTCTCTCCATTGTGAACATTGCCCTGCATCCTATTACACTATGTAAAACTATTGTTATTCCTGGGTTATAAATGGCATGTCCTAATTGTTTTTATCTTAAAAACATGGGAACGTTTATGAAACTGCAAAAACTTTTTTTTTTGAGGTCTACCCAAAAGGTTAAAATAGCATATGAAAGGTTAAAGACAGCAGCCACAAAAATAAAGTTTCTGGAGTATAACAACTACTTTCAAGGTAAGAACTACTTTCAAGGTAAGTAAATTAAACAGAAAATAACAATTTTACATGAGGAACAGAATTTTTTTCAAATTTTGTTACATAGTTGGGTTGCTCTGAGTTTTTTGGAGGCTATATGACCATGTTCCAGTAGCATTGTCACCTGACATTTCACCTTCATCTATGACTGCCATAGATTCAGGAGAAACATCAGGAGAGAATGCTTCTGGAACATGGCTATACAGCCCAAAAAACTCACAGCAATCCAGTGATTCCGGCCATGAAAGCCTTTGACAACACATTTGTTACACAGTGCAATTTCAACAAGAGTAGATGTCTTGAATCAGTGCAGTTTACCTGTGAGTCAACTCATCATTCAACAACTGAGTCAAAAAATTGACACTAGCTGGAAGTAATCAATAGGTTTCAGGTCAATATGTCTTCTATGGGCAGCTTTATTCATTCAGACAGAGGACACATCTACACTGAACCATTTATTAGGTCAGTTTAGGGTTGGATCATCCTGTGGGCAGCTACGAAATGCACATGCACTGATCCTGATTAACACCAGGAATGTGGCTTAGTGTGGCTGCATCCCAGATAAAAATAACTAGGATTTGGGCTCTTCCTTGAGTTTTGGCAGTTCAGACACTAACAGCAGGCTCCAATGTGGAACAGCTGTGGGTGTCCTGCTAGCTATCTCAAGCTTTCCAGATTCAGCGGACAAGAGACATTTGTCCCCTCCTGCCAACTCCCTCCCTGTCAGTGCCAGCTACAGCAGCAACAGGGCTATGTACATGCCGCTCAAAAATTTCCCTCTCTCTTTCTGTGCCATGCGATTGGCGAAGGAGCCTGGGGGACGGGAGAAGGGCTCAATAGGGGCTGTGCTAGCACAGCAGGTTAAACTGCCAGCTGCAGGAAAACTTGCCAACCAAAAGGTTGGCAGTTCAAAGCCATGGGTTGGGGTGAGATCCCGCTGTTAATACTAACTTCTGCCTACCTAGCAGTTCTAAAACAATAATGTGAGTAGATCAATAGGTATTGCTTTGGCAAGGCGGTCAAAGGTGCCCATGCAGACATGCTGGCAATCTGATCAGTTAGGCGTCCACAGACAACAGACTCCTTGGCATGGAAAATGGAACAAAAGCACCTCCCCATGGCCAGAGTTGAGCATAGCCCCCAGATTCTGGAGATGTAAAGAGGGAAGCCTTTGCCTCTGTCTGTGTACTGTCTGTCTTTGTTATTAACTGTATAATGGCACTGAATGTTTGTCATATATATATATATTCTCTAATCCAATCTAAATCCCCTCAGGGAGATTGAGCAGAATATAAATAAAGTATATTATTATTATTATTATTATTATTATTATTATTATTATTATTATTATTTTCCCAAGCTCCGTTGCCAGTCAGATGGCTCAGAAGGAGGAAAGGCGACTGCCAAGCAGCACGTGTATAGCCCTGTCATCACTATAGTTAAGCAACAAGAAGGGAAAGAGTGTGGCAGTCAGCACCCTGGCCCAAACTGGCTTTGGCATAACTAGGGATGCTCTCCAACTGTTGAGGTGGCTCAGGGTGGCTCTGTCAGGGTGCAGTGTGGGCCGGAATCATCATTTTGGATGCCAGAAATAGCCCATGTTATGTGTAGAACTGCTCAGAGACAGATGAAAATAAGAAATGTTCTGAGTATTTAGGAATAGTTGGAATATATGACACACAGTGGATAAGCTGGAATGTGTCCAGAGGAGGGTGACTAAAGTGATCAAGGGTCTGGAGAACAAGTCCTATGAGGAGCGGCTTAAGGAGCTGGGCATGAGAAGGCGGAGAGGAGATATGATAGCCATGTATAAATATGTGAGAGGAAGTCACAGGGAGGAGCAAGCTTGTTTTCTGCTTCCCTGGAGACTAGGACACGAAACAATGGCTTCAAACTACAAGAAAGAAGATTCCATCTGAGCATGAGAAAGAACTTCCTGACTGTGAGAGCTGTTCTGCAGTGGAACTCTCTGCCCCGGAGTGTGGTGGAGGCTCCTTCTTTGGAAGCTTTTAAACAGAGGCTGGATGACCATCTGTCAAGGGTGCTTTGAATGCAATATTCCTGCTTCTTGGCAGGGGGTTGGACTGGATGGCCCATGAGGTGTCTTCCAACTCTAGGAGTCTATGATTCTATGATTTTTGTGTTCCAATTTCAAAAAGGAAAAATGAGCACAACACAGAAAACAGAAAAATGAGCACAAAACCATCCTCACTGCTTTGGAGGCTTCCTCATCAGTTGCTGGACATACTGAGCCTGATGCACTTCCAGGAAAGATGTTTCCCCCTGTAAGAGAGAAAGAAAGAGTTTCTGATTGTTCCAACGATCCCAGTTTTGAGTTGGCAAATTGAAAAATCTGTGATTGATGCAGAGTTTAGGAGATCATGCCTTAATATCTTCCATAGATTTCCTCTATATTTCATAAATATGTGCATACATATGTGCTAAAAGAGACCTACATGAAGTCAACTTATGCATAGCACAAAGAATAGTACAAGAGCCGATCCAACGTCTAGTTCCAAGAAACACATAAAAGTCAAAACCACAAGCAAAGAACTTGCTGTAATGGCAAGCTAGAATGTTGCACCTGTCTTCTGTCATGTGAAATGGGTGCATGACAGGTTGGCAATTTTCAACACATGGAACAAAGCAAATAGATTACCAGCAAAAATACTCACAGTTTGATTAGACTGGAATTGGAACCATGAAATTTTCACAAATGTAAGGACAAATCTCCCTAGCAGAAATACCAGGCAGAGCAGAGAGGGCCAGTAAAAAATGATATTTTCATAGACTCCCACCATCTGTGTAGATAAAAAAATGGATTTAGTAGGTTTCCAACTTGTACAATTGCTGGTAATTTCTATACCCGAGACAGGCTCTGTATTATTTTTTTTTCCCCAGGCTTCAGCACACCATTGCTTTCTCACAAGAGTGCAAGGTACAAGTAAATGCAGTTGTTAGGTCTGATCTTACTGATAGTTCCAACTCGAGTAGATCTACTGAGTCAATGAAATAGACATATGTGTTGATTCACCAGTGAACAAATTGGATCTACTGCAGTTGGGACTAATTAACAGGATTCTAGCCTTAGACTCAGCCATAGCATTACATTAATGTGGTTTACAAAAATGGTGATTTAAAAAGTCTTATTAATTCTTTATATGCAGAGTGCAAGCATGATGTATCATTGGGGTTTTGGATTAGGACTCTGAAGACCTGGGTTTGAATTCCCACTTAGCATGAAAACCCACAGGATGGCCTTGGGCAACTTACACTCAGAGGCGGCCCTAGGTAATTTTCAACGGTAAGCAAACAGTATTTTGGCGCCCCTTCCCCCCCCCCCCCAACCAATCACTGATATATATTTTCTGTGCATCGTGGGAGTTCTGTATGCCATATTTGGTTCAATTCCATCATTGGTGGAGTTCAGAATGCTCTTTGATTGTAGATGAACTATACATCCCAGTAATTACAACTCGCATATTATTTATTATTATTTATTTATTTCAAAGTTTTCTATATTGAGCTTCTCACCTCGTTGAGGGATTCAGCCCGGTTTACAACCATAAAAACACATACAATCAGTAAAAATATCATAATTCACAATTACAGTAGCACATTAAAATAACAAATATATTTAAAACTATGGTGGTCAGTCGTCATGCTAAAATCGGATATACATCATCTTCCATCCAAAACTTAGGGCGTTATCTCATTCATCGAAAGCCTGTCTCCATAACCACGTCTTCACCTGTTTCCTGAATGCCAGGATAGAATGCCAGCATATGTCAAGGTCTATTTTCCCTCAAGAGCGCCTCAAGAGTGCCCCTGGGCAAAATCAAGTATACTGCAAATGCTTACTTTGCATAATGGTTGAGCCGCCCCTGCTCACACTTTCTCAGCCTCAGAGAAAATTAAGGGCAAATCCAATACAAACCAATGCTGCCAAGAAAACCCCATGATAGGGAACCCTAGCATTATCATGAGTCAGAAATTACTTGGAAGCATACAAGGGCATCAATATGAGAATTGAAATGATTGGATTTATCTCCAAAGATTATAATATTAAAACACATTTAAAGTATCATGGAGCCCCCAGTGGCTCAGTAGGTTAAACTGCTGAGCTGCTGAACTTGCTTACTGAAAGGTCAGCAGTTCAAATCCAGGGAGCAGGGTGGGCTCCCATTGTTAGCCCCAGCTTCTGTCAACCCAGCAGTTCAAAAACATGCAAATGTGAGTAGATCAATAGGTACTGCTCCAGTGGGAAGGTAACCACGCTCCATGCAGTCATGCTGGCCACATGACCTTGGAGGCGTCTATGGACAGCTTAGAAATGAAGATGAGCACCACCCCCCAGAGTTGGACATGACTAGACTTAATGTCAAGGGGAAACCGTTACCTTTTCTAAAATATCATATTAAAAACAGTTGCATTAAAGGCACAACAGTAAAAGAAATAGGGCACCCATTAAAAGCCTCTTCCTTGTCAACCAAGCAATTGCTAAAAGCCCAGAATACAGACCTTAGCCTTAAATATGCCCTGTGTCTTATGGTGCATCCACAGCCCACAACAGCAGTTTGATACCATTTTAAGAGCAGTGACTCCATCCTACAGAATCCTAGTATATATAGTTTGGTGAAGTATGTGGTGTCTGTTACAGAGTTTTGCTGGAATACTTTCCTGAACTACAGCACTACTGCTCTCTAGACAGACCACAAACACCAGCATTCTATAGTATGCAGCTATGACAGTTAAAATTGTGTCAAAATATTATAATTTTACAGTCTGTATGCACCCCTGCTTGTATATGGAGTAATGGTCACACAACACCATAATTATAATGATAAATCCTAATCCCAACCCTAGCTAGATATAATTTATCACCTGCACCCAATCCTTCATCCCACAAAGGAATAACCCAACAATTTTCACAAATTGTGTGCCAACTACAAGTAGCAAGGTATAAGAAGAACAGGAAAAGTTGCACTATTGGAAATAGAATCAGAACCCTGTTTTGAAACAAAAAGGTGTATTTAAATGTAGGCCTTGGTATGCCCTTCCACCAGCAAATTCCAGGCTTCGAACTGTCTACACACACCACACTCAAAATGCAAAGCAAAACAAGCATGCAGTCAGATTCAATCACTTCTGAAGACTCTGCCAAACATTCAACTGTTTGGAAAAGATATAAATGTTTGCTTTGAAAACTGGATAAGTCACTTTGCTCAGTTAATCATCCTTCACTATTGAAGGACAAGGAAGATTAGCTGGGTAAAATGATTAAGAATCCAAATTTGCTAGACAACAATGTTCAGAACGATTAAACTGGCCTACCAAAATCCTGAGCCCTTCAGATGTTTTGGACTACAGCTGTTATCACTCCTGACCACAAGCCATGTTGGCTTCGACTGGTGGGAGGTACAGTTCAAAAATGCCAGAGGACACCTTTCCATATTTCTAATGGGCAATTCCGTCGTGTACAACTGGTCTAGAATTGTAATAGTGTTTTCTGCATAAGAGCATACTCTGTAACAATGTCGATGTAGCAAAAGTATTTAAGAACATAAGCTTTAGAAGTATCCATATAAAGGAAATCTACAATTTTGGGCAATGATAATCGGTTGTTGAAAAGATAGAGACTAGTGCTATATTTTAGTCAGATGTGTTGCATTATATGAGTTATATGGGTTTTTGTTTGTATTGTATTTTTGTGTGGTTAATTTCCCCTAAATGATATTTTGCATATCAATTGTTTATATTTAACTACACATGCACATATATATATATATACACATACACACACATCAGAGAGAAGAGAATCACACTTAAGTATGAGGTTCACCAGGTTGTTGTAGTTGTTGTGTCTCCAAGATGTTACTAGTTTATGGTGACAAAATGAATTCAGTTTTCTTGACAAAATGAATTCAGTCTGAGAGTGTGACTTGTCCAGGGTCACGCAATGGGTTTCCATGACCGCGTGAGGATTTAAGTCTTGTTCTCTAGAGTTATGGTTCAACACTCAAACCAAGATATTGTGCTGGATCTCACCAGGTTACCAAAGGCAAATCACATCCACAGATACACCTTCCCACCCCACTAAAAGATTATGATAGTTGCATTGTGGCCAAGATAATTGTTTACTCCAAGATAATTGTTTGCTCCAAGATTAGCCTTCTTTACTTAGTTGTCAACAAAATCCCCGAAGTAATAAATACAGCATGGGTTACATACCCATGGGAGGTACTCACACATTGCTCTGTGCAGCATGTACTGCCATGGTATGCACATGTCCATATATCCGTATATCTGTGTTCATTCCTGAATTATATCTTAGCAAATAAGGTGTCTGTATATAGGTCAAGAATTGGTGCCCAAAAAATACTCCTTAAAGGTAAAATCAGAATGGGTATAGTGCAATTCTCCAGATGTTGTTAGACTACATTTCATAGGACAGTCAATAGAGAGGAATCCTAGATGCCACAGTCCAACAATACCTGGAAGGCTGATCTTTGTCCACCCTGCAACACTATACATCATCCTAGAGATAAAATCCACTTAAAACCCGGTTTCCGCCTCCTGCAGAATTCTGGGGTTTGTAATTTATGGAGGCGCCTTTAACACCCTCACTAAGCTACAAACCCCTGAATTCTGCAGGAGGCAGAAACCAGATTTTAAATGGATTTTTTTCTCTAGTGTGATTTTTTTTGTCGTGTCAGGAGTGACTTGAGAAACTGCAAGTCACTTCTGGTGTGAGAGAATAGTGTGAAGAAGTGGTATATTTATGTTGGTAGAAGAACAGATGTAGCCTTGGCTTCTACTTCATCAAGGATAGATTTTCATTTTAATGGCCCTTTAAAATCTAAGTATTTTAGCTTAAGTGACTGCTATCTTGGATAGTTCATCTTCATTATCAAAAACAATCTGCTGTTCATCAAAATCCAAGGAACATGGGGGTGCAGAGTGCATTGTCCTTCCTGAAACCAATTTGTATTCATTATGTCTAAAAGTAGCTCTTGCATGTACTTCCAGGTTGTCCTGTCTCTCACTCTACCCCTAGCATATTCCTTGTATACAAGTGAACTCCTGAAAGGGGGTAAAGTTGTACCTTGTGAATTGACTTGGCACATTGTGAATTGACAGCCGTTAGTTTTATCTACTGCTGTTTTAAAATTGTATTATTTTATGCTACATGTGTTGACGGGGATTGTTGTTATAATTTTATGTGACTTTTATACCTTTGTACTGTTTTTACCTGTTGTATGTTATATGTGCACCCTAGAGTGCCTTGTAAACCACCCCAAACCCCTTTGGGGAGATGGTAGCGGGCTATAAATATACTACATTATTATTATTATTATTATTATTATTATTATTATTATTATTATTACCTGTGATACAAATAACAGTTTATATGGATTAGTGTTATTACCCAGACATACTCACTTGCCCGTGGGGGCACTGTGTGATGTGCAGGAATACGACCACAAACCTGCAAAAAAGGAAAGAAAAAGAGGAAAAATTACTGCAATTCTTTGATTCCAAGATACACTTTTTCCTCCATATAAATGTCCCTAAAGAGGGGGTACATCTTAGAATCACAGGTGATAGATAGATAGATAGATAGATAGATAGATAGATAGATAGATAGATAGATAGATGAAAGGATGGACAGGTGGATAAATAGAGATTTTTTTCTGTTGATGGTAGTGAAATTAGTACGCATCTTACAATTGATGACATCTTAAAATCAAAGAAATATAGTAATAATTCAGTTGTATTATGCTAAGTCTTAACAACCTAGGGTTTTGTTAACGCATCCAATGTGGATGTTGCTTTTTGAACTACAAAGTGCAGCACCTACGTTCTGCTGGAATTCACATTAGTAAGGCATGGCTATTGTCTTGAAAGAAAACACAGCATTTTTCTCCACCTGAGAAAAGCCAAAGAAGGTGGTGATAGTGATGGTGGAGGAGGACAATTGAAGACTATCAAAATATTGTTTAGAAAGACAATATGTATACGAGATCCACAGTCCCATTGTTGTGTCCCCAGTACGTAAGTCTCAAACAAAGCATTGGCTTCAGGAGATGGAGGCTGAAGGCTGATAACCAAACATACTTTGTCCTAAGCACAGTAAAGCAGAAAATATTTGGTGGCATTCCTATGCTTCTTTACCTAGGGATCAATTTGCTTCCAAGCAAGTAGGTGAAGGTAAAGGCCGAGAAGTTTGAACTATGTGCTCAAACACATCTTGAACTATGTGTTCAAACACATCTTGAAGAAACAGACCCCACCCTCTCGTAGAATTTAATGTGGAGTATGGGGGGGGGCTTGGTCCATTGCCCTGGGGATTGTCTTTCCCTTCCTCTGAGGCCGAGAGAGTGTGACTTTCCCAAGCTCAGTTTCCATAAGTGAGTGGGAATTCAAGTGGTCCCCAGAGTCCTAGTCCATCACTCACATCAAACCGCTACACCATGCATATCTTGAAGTAAACACAAGATAACATGTGGGCATTTTGGGTTCTCTTCACCCCATTTCAGTCAGCCCTAGGAGTGTCATTCAGGCCCATTTCTCAGTTTGCTCACCAAGTTCCTGTGTAAAGGAATCCAAGTGCGGACCCTGCAATCTGGGCACGAGTCGAAAGGCAAGCAAAAAGTGGATAGGAAGAAAGACCAACTTCCAAGGCACCAAGAAGAATTGCAAGGGCAGCTGAAAGAAAAGATTTAAAAAGGCATCATAAAATCCTCACATTCTTCATTTTAGTTTTGGAGAACTTCTCCAAGTAAACACAAAAGTCTATAATTACTTGGAAGGTTAGGCAAACCATGTATGTAATTCCTTTATTAATATTAATAAACAAAGTTATACAACTTGGCAGCACCCAGAAAAAAATTACATTTATTTCTTTTGCATAAATCTTACAATCATAATTATGTTTCTGTTCTGATGGAGGGAGGTCTGCATGTGCAAGCTTAGGAGAAATCCCAGAATCAGCTATTGTGTTCTGGGGTAACAATGCAATTCTACACCAGGGGACTTCACTGTCTCTCACACACTATTTTTTTCCTTCTGGCAAAGGGGGTATAGAGCTTTTGAGACACCTTGCAGAGAGATGGCAATAACTTAGGGGCAAACATTTCTGCCTTACAATCTTCCAGGGGCTTCACAAACTGCCAAATGTCCCCGCCCCAATAAATTGACAGAAATACATGTCTGACTTTGAAAAAATGATATTATCATGTTGGATAGCGCAGGACATTCCTGTATCCTATTGATATAGTCTGTCCCTCCTAGAGGCCTTCAGGAGAGCAATTTGCCATCACTACCAATGGGAGAAGGGCTGATAAAAAATAGTAAGTGGAGTCTAAAATGATTGTGGAGCCACAGAAACAACCTGAAGACCTCATGTGGCATTAGGAATGCACTTTTCCTACATCTGACTTCCATGGCATTGGACCAGAGTCTTATTTCTCACATCTAAAGCAGTAGTTCTACACATAGGAGTAAGTGTAGTATAATAGTTTGACTGCTGAATGAAGGATCTCATTGTACACAGGCTTTCCCCCATTTCTACACACTTTAAAATCATTTTAAAGAGAGGTTTATGTAACCCATCAAATGACAAGAATAATTCTGCTGTTTGCCCATGGGACTTTGTCTTTAAAATGTCTTTAAAGTGTAGAAACAGAGGAGGTTTTTTTTGTTTGGTTGTTGTTGTTGTTGTGTTGGAGTTGAGAAGCAATTGACTCCAGAGCTCCCCCATTCATGTAGAAAGGAAACGAAATAATTTTAATTAATCAGCCTGTTGTCCTTATCAAAATACACAATATAAACACAACATACAGTATACATCTAATCCGAGTAAAATATAAATATACAAGTACAGAGAGAAAAAGTGGGGGGTGGGAGAAGAAAGGGATAAATGAGCTTTTTCTTCGTGGTCTCTGCGAATGCACACTTGTGGAGAGACTGCGCCTGCGCGGGCTCCAACGGAAACTTCTACTTTTCAAAAACTTTTCAAGTTTTGGCGGTAACCCCGCCCAGCCCCGGCAGGGGATAAAAGGGCGCCCCGCGCACACCGATCCAATTCCTTTTTTTCCGCCGCACGGCTCGCTTCGGACTTCTAGGAATAGTTGGATAGTGTTGTAGTATAGCGATTTAGAGTTTCTCCTCGAGTTGTTGACTGGATTATGTCAACAACTCGCTTCAAAAGATGCGCGAATTGTCCGAGGAAGATCCCTGATTCGGACAAGCACGCTCTTTGCCTTCTGTGTCTCGGAGAGGCACATATTACTTCTTCGTGTCGTCATTGTCAATCGTTGACGGCACAGTCCCGCAAGAACCGAGTTCATCGGCTTCGGTACCTTCTGTACCAACAGACGTTGGCCCCGGTACCCTCTACTTCGACAGCGGCGTCGACGTCGGCTGCGGTGGCCGGACCCTCGACATCGAAGGCATCGACATCAACATCTGTTGATCCCTCGACGGAGGCCGGGCCTCGCCAGACAAGGGCGAAGAAGGCCGCACAGAAAAGGCCGAGACCAGCCATGTCGACGGTCTCGAAGGCCTCTGTGTCGACAGCTTCCAAGGCTGCAAAGCCTACGAAGCAGAAGGCTCCTTGCACGGTCACGACCGAGACCGTACGCATTCGACACTCATCGACCAGCTCGGTGGCGTCGGTGAGATCGATCAGGTCCACGAGGTCGACGTCGGCGACCCCGCCATCTTCCACGGCGGTTCGCATTGCTTTCCGCCGGTCTCAGGAGGAGTCACGGCGAGCTTCCACCTCATCCTCCGTCCCGCCCACCCCGGGCAATTCGACATCGAAGACTGCTCAGCCGCCGGCCAAGAAGAAGAAGACGATGCCGCCTCCACCCTCGTCCTCTTCCTCTTCCCGAAGGCAGACCACTGCCTCCTCGGCCACCTCGTCTGCGAGGTCATCGCCGGTACAGCCTGCTGAGCCCCAGCTGCCCCCGCAACCGGCCCAGGTCCCACAACCCGTGCCGGAGCAGCCTTCGGAGCAGCCCGAGTCCCCGGTGATATCGGTGGACACGGTGGTCGAGGCACGGACTCGCCATGTGACAGCCAGGCAGGAGCTTTTCCCGTCGGTCTCGATGTTGGCTACTGTGACAACCAGACAGGAGACTTCTCCAGTGCGGGAGACTCCAGAGAGGGGCAGACAGACGATGAGGCTAGCCCGTGCCATCCAGGCTTCGGCTTCTAAAGTTCCTCCAGTGGCTCCTCTGCAGCTTGCGAGTCGGGATGTTTCCTCATCCCCTCCTCCCGATCCTTGGCTGCTGACAATGATGAAGAAGATGGCGAGTTACCGAGATCGGTACACTCGGGATCGGTGCTGTCTCTCGGGATCGAGAGGTCACCTACCCACGACGCCTATGAGGCTGATCCGCCATCCCCTACTGACAATGTCCGAGCATTTGCGGATCAAATGGCTCGCATGGCTGACGCTCTAGGCTTGGAGGTCAAGCAAACCTCCAAGGCAGTGCTAGACACAGTGTTCAAGAGGGTGCAGAGGGAGTCCCCACCCGCTCCTCTCCTACCCTTCCTTCCCTACCTCCTCGAGGTGATCCAAGGCTCCTGGAAGACCCCTTCATCCATCCCTCCAACATCCAAGAAGATCGAATCTTGGTACAGAACTGATGATGAGGGCTTGGAGTGGCTGAAACACCACCCCGACCCTAACTCGGTGGTCATGAAGGCGGCTCAAGGGTTCGGAAGGCAGTCCTCGGCGCCGTCCGACCGTGAGGGAAAGAGGTTCGACGCAGTGGGCAGGAAGCTCTACTCTGGTGCCCTCTTACTGGCCCGCATGGCGAACTATGGGGCGTGAATGGGAGCGTACCAGCAAATCCTATGGGAAAAGGCAGAACCATTCTTCCAGAGGATGTCTGAGGAGGATTGTGCTGCCATGACCACCCTGGCACAGGAGGCGAACTCTCTGGCACATCACCAGATGCAGATGGCCAAGCACA